AGCTATTAAAACATACACAGATTTGCTTCCCAGTCTGGTTGTTTATCTTGTATATTTTAAATACTAAGATTATCATTCCAGGATTAGCAGAATCCATTAGATCTCTGAAAGCGCAGCTTCAAAGTTGGCCAAAGTTGGTGGAAGGGGTGAGGAATGCAGAACGTGTGAATTGTCCATCAGGAAAAAATAATACCTTGATAACCAAAATTTACAAGAAACAACGACTTAGTAAATATTTAAGGTTGTAATGAATCCTGTTTGGTTATGTAGATAAAACTCAAAGGAGGGGAAGGTGGAGAAGGTTGAGGCAGGAACTTAAAGCCCTCTACCAGCCCGGCCTTAAAGCTCAATTTATTTACATATCCTATTAGGTGGGTTAATGCCAAAGTTAAAAAACAGGTGTTCTTTCTCAGCTTTAGTCCATGGGCCACAGTTCTATTTCCTTTCCCCCTTCTGCTGCACTCTCCAGTCAGGAGTATGAGACCGTGTACTCATTTAAATCAGTAATTAGGCTTTAATACCTGGTCTCAAAGCACTGTGGGAATTGGACATGTTTTGATGTTTTGGAGTGGATGGAATACGTGCCCCCCTGTTGAGCATCCTTGTCCATCTTGGAATGCTAACTCTGAAATTTTTGTCTCAGTTCTGGTGTGTGGGAGCGCGTGTTACATGCTTCTAAATACGAAAACACAGCACACATTCTAAAAGAAATATATATTATTCATTTCTCCTAAGGGAATACTAGAATCTTACTTTCAACTTTTAGCCACAGATAGAGTTTCCAGTTTAAAAGGCAGGATTTTCACATGTTGTGATTTTTTTTCCCTCCCACTGTCTCCCCTGCTGCTGACATTTCTAATCATTAATTGGGTATTCTGTCTTCAGCTGAGGGAGGGGTGGGGGATAGCAAATTAATTATATGGGTCAGAGTTATGATTCAGGGCCATATTTCTTGCACTGCTAAGTCTGTTTTGATGAGCATTAAAGTCCAGAAACACCTAGCAGTTTTCATCCTCTGGGGCAGATTTTCAGTGTGTAAAGGAAAGTACTGGCTATATCAGGAGTTTCATGTTGGTGGGTTTGTGGTGGAGCTGAAAGAAATGGGAGCTGGGAACGACTTTTGGCTGTCCGTTGTTTATGCTGGACAGGCAGGACTGACATGGATCTACCTGTCTTTGCTTGACTTTAGCCTCCTTGCTGAGCCCCAACAGAGAAATGGGGCCTCCGTGCTTTTAAAAATTACTTTAACAAAATGAGATTTTTTTTGATGTTGGAATTTTTGTCTCTGCATCAATATTGCTCCTGTTAACTTTCATGGAATTAGTTTTAAGTGGGCAGTAGTCTGAGGTTGGCAAATGCAGCGAATTGCATTCATAGAGGTGGTTGTGGGATAGTAACGTAACAAAAATGTAAGTGGATTAAGCCCTTAATGCCACTAAAGATGAGATTTGTGTGTCCAGCTGTATGTGAAGCTGAACTGTTGGTTAGGTGCATATGCAAAGAAAGAATTGGATTAAAAAAACAAAATGGGAGAAGGGTTTCGTGTCTTCAGCAGCATCACTGATCACCACCACCATGCAGGGATCCATGTTAAACAACCTTAACAATTATGCAAAAGAAAGGTAAACAGCATGTTAATGAAATACACCGGGGTATTAAATATAAGACACTGCAAACATGAAAACAGTAGAGAAATGATACAGGAAACTTGCAGATGTTAGCAGAATAGATAGAAAAGCAAACTCAGCCTAATGAACATGAGTAAAAATAACCCAGATGAGGTAGGTGACACCCGGAAAGCTGGATTTAGAAAATAATCTACATGTGGTTGGAAAGAACAATGAAGTGCACTGATGATACCAGAAAGCACTGAAGGCAGTGACTTGTCGTTTGGTATTGTAGCAAATAAAACACATGATTGTTGACTTTGGGGCTTAGCTCAGTAGCAGAGTGAGGAGAAGCTGTACGGTATACAATCGCGTCCGTTTAGGTCTGATGTTTGTGTCTGTCATGATTTTTATGCGAGGATAGTGGACTTAGGAGTGAAGGAAGCTGATCACTATTTGAAGTTCAAAATAAAACTTTTTCTGCATTATAGTTATTTGTTTAGCATTTAAATATGTTTTTTCCCTCACGTGTTATATTATTCCTCTTACACTCCCTGTTTAAGCTTGCTTAATAGTGCGTTTAGATGGTACTTCCTGAAAATTCAGATATAACATGCAATTACAGCATATTTAGCATATTAATGACTAAATGCTTGTTTGGTGAAGTTCTGGAAATTATTTCCTTTTTTTCAATTCACTCCTAAAAATGATGATGACTTTCTTTTAAAGTCAATGACAGTTGACACAATGGATCATAAACATTCATTTTGAACCCCTGTACTCAATAAAAGGGCTGTAAGGAATTTGTAACTTCGTTTTATTTTCTTCACTAGTCATTATGTCTCCTTTGGAACCATTTCTTTATTATGGTCTATCATGTAAATATTGTTTGGACCATTTTTAGTGTACACAGTACCATAAAAACTCTTATTTATTTTGACAGCTGTTATGACAGTTCTTAATATGCACTTTAAAGCAGAGAGATCTCCTGCCTGTTTTGTCAGTCTGTGGTTTGGTGGTGTTTGTTAAAAATTATGTGATTGTTCATACAGCAGAAAAAAAAAATAAATTCTCTGCTCAAGGACATTAGTCAGTACTAGCTCCATAGAAGTCGTTTGATGTCCAGTGTTTTTCATAATTGCCTATTAAAGAGTGTCTTGCCTCAGCATCATGGAAAGCACAGGCAAATGAAGAGGAGCGTTGTTTTGGGTGGGTATGCCAGGTCCATTAATCTGAGGTCTGCGCTCAACATCAGCAGAGTAACTAATAAGATTAGAAGGGGGAATGTGTCATAAGGCCAGACTAGATGAAGGAGGAGTGTCTGCCTGAGGAGTAGGTGGTACTGGACTTGCATTTCCCAAACATCATAATCCATTTCATAGCCAGACAACATTCAGTTTCCTTTATTTGCAGGCTTTATGGTTTCCATCGTAAAGTCTTTGAACTATAATAGGCCTTACAGAGTTGTGTAATGTTAATGTTTTCCCTGGGCAAACATGCTAGTGGTGCTTGAAACACGGTGCTTTAATACTAGATGTGGGAGTATGAGGCTTTGTCTCTGTAAACATGAAGCGAGTGACACAGTAGGATTGGATCTGAAGGATGAAATAGGTAATGGTCCCAATATCTAGGCTATGTTTGCTGCAAGGGATTTTTGTTTGGGTTAGCTGTAGTTTGATCCTGTGGACCTTAATGCCAGTTAGAGGTTGGAGCACGTTAGGTGCACTCCAGAAACATATCTTCTGGTTGGTATCTGAAATGAATCCAGGTTGTGTGCTCTGAGACCTCTCTGAACCAAACTGCAGTGACAAGGGACAGATTGGACAGTTTAGAGATGGGCTTCAAAATGGTACTCAGTGGTAATGTAGACACACCTTAATATACCAAACCAGGTTAGATGGCACTGCTTCCCACTGCTCAGCTTTGTGGTAGGGCATGAAAAGAAGAATAAACAGTCAGATAAATCAATTTACTATTTCTGTGGGAAACTCCTGTAAATTTTCAATAGCTGTGTGGTATTTTTTTTATTAATAGGCCATAATGTATCTTTCATCATCATTCAGACATAATCAAGGAAGGCTGTTAAAGCATAGCAGGGATATTTCCAGAATCCTGACAATGGTTAACCTGTTTTCTGTACTTACCAGGCAGTGGGTTGGGCACCATTTATACTCTGCATTTGTCATGCTGTCTTTTTTTATCCATCTTTTACTGTCCAGCCATTGTTGGAGGGATGTTAAATGCTGTGGGTGTGTTTATACTAGTAAGTCATTGGTATTCTGTGAAAATGCCTAATCTAAGGTTTTGGTTTGGAGGCTGCTACCCACCCTTTAGAGACAGAGCAGGGAGAGAGAGAGAGAAAACTGAGTCAGAGCACCTATTGCTTTGACTTTTTCTTTGGAGGGAGCCTGCTTCTCTCCACTAACTGTGTAGGCGATCTCCAGCTACAGGAACCCAAGTCAAATGGCGTGACTCTCTGAGACAGTAATTTTGGTTTTTCCTTGTATGGTATCTACTGCGATGCAAGCCTACTATCTCTTATCACTATGGAAGAACAAATTAGTAATTGTGGCTCATGCTGCTCAAGAGCCTGGAAAGCTGAACGGAGTCACAGGAATAGTGGGAGGGACAACAGGTCTTGTGCAAAAGCTGACACTCACTTGGCATTGTTCACAGGAGTTTTTTGGCTCCAACACACCAGACTTCTGGTCTGGGATTTGGCTGTGCTGAAAAGCCACAGCAAAAACAAATGAGTGCAACCATAATCCCTGACCAAAATATTTGTGTATAATAGTAATGAACCAGGAGTTCCAAGAGGGTGCATGGTTCTAACCATGAATTACATTGGTCATATATAATATCCTCCACTTGAGGAAGATGTACAAGCATGATGCCTCCAGATTTGTCTATGAAACACCATGTTTGAAGTTGCCTCTCACTTCATACCCAGGAAGGCACATCTTATTGATAGTTCGGGAATTTTTCATTAGTTTGTTTTGCTCTGAATACAGAAGCCCATGAGTTGATCTAGGTGGAGCCAAAGAGTAAGCATAGTTAAAGCTTTTGCAGGAAAACTGCAGATACCTGTATCCTCATTTTGCCATTGCAGTTTTGCGTTTGCCATCAAAGTGCATGTTGTGTCTCCTTGTCCACACGACTCCTCACATGTGCATGGTGGTCTGAAAAATGTAGAATTGGTATATTGATTAAAAACCAGAAAAGTCATACCATATGTTAATGTGTTTCCCCTGACTTCCCATTTGGACTGATTTAGAAATTCTGGTCATAAGACAGTTAATAAGCTTTTTTTTTTTTTTTTTAATTATGTTTTACGTACCCAACCATTCTTTGGTCTCTCCCTCTACCTAAAAATACTCTGATTCTGATTGCTAGAACCCCTCTGATTGCTGCGGGAGTTATTGGTGGCCTCTTCATTGTCGTCATTGTGGGTCTGACATTTGCCGTGTATGTTCGGCGCAAAAGCATTAAAAAGAAGAGAGCATTGCGAAGATTCCTGGAGACTGAGGTGAGAGCATGCTTCTCACAGAATATTTGAAAAGATAGGCAGAGCTGTTCCACTTTAATGTAAAAGATGTTCAAGTCTTCAATCTAGTTACCAGAGAGGTCTGTAGAAATCCTTTTGCTAACTTCTGCAGGACTAAACTGATGGAATGAATGAAGCTATTTCAAGATACTAGTTTTCTGTACATGTATAGATTCATGGCGTCTGAAGACCAGAAAAGATCTGCATGATCATGAAGTCATGTTTCACCAGATTTTTGAACTCCCACCCTGCTCTCAACTGAACTGCTCTCCCAGTTCATCAGTATATTTAGCAGTTCTCATGCTTAAATATTACCGGTGCATGTCGAGGTCAGCTTTGAAGGCTGAAGTAAGTTCCTTCAGCAAGCTCTGATGCAAACTTAAGCTCATCAGGAATGCTTAAATGCAGAGATTGCCACTTATTGTTGTTCCTAGTGCCTACATTGCCTTTGTAGTCCAGATTTTGTCAAAGCCTGTAGTCATGATCAGTAATAATAATGTATTTTATTAAGCCATGGTATTTGCCAGAGCTTAACCAAATGAAGTTCACCGTTCTACTGGCAAAAAATATGTAGTGGAACTATAGGACAGAGTGCTGTGCCCGCTCCATCGTGCTCATTGAAATGCCGGTAGTGGAGAGGGCAATCTAGGAAGTGTATTTAAACATAACATTCAATCTGTATCTTACCAGCTACAGCAAGGGTGATTACTACCATCTCCTCAGTCCTATACTTGAGACACTTTGCAATTGATAATATTTTTAAATTAGAGTCCCCGTTGCAAGATAATAAAGCTTGGGAATACTGTTAGCTAGTGATTCTTTGATAAGGCTTTGTTAACAATGCTGTTTTCCGTTCTGTTCCAAGGGTCCTGCTCCCACTCATCTTCACTGTAGACCCTGGGAGCAAATGATTTATGCATCTCCAGTCTGTTTGCCTAAGTATCTTTATGCTTGGCTAGAATTTGTGTTGCTCGTTAAATACTGCTCAGTTGTATAGAAAGCTTAACAATACTCACTGCCTTTAGATACATAAATCTTGTCATTGTATCAGCCCCTACTTAATCATAAATGATTTTAAGCAGGTAGCTTTCATTGTATTTGAGAAGCATTGGCTTTGAAGTCCAGGTCTTATTCTCCATTTGGTCAGACAAAACCTATGCTGACAGCAGTTCCTGAGGGACCAAGGTCTCCTACTGAACATGGGGGGAAGTTGTTGTCTTGGCTTAGAAACTGAAGATTAAATCAGGAGCATCTTGAGATAAACACACAAGCAACTATAGCTTCAGTTAAAGTCTCTATTTCTAGCTGGAGGCTGTAAAAGACCTATTCTTTCTGTAGATCATTCTCAGTAAAACTCTACAAGTATTTTTTTAGACGCCAACAACACTTCTCCCTGATACCAGTGTTGGTGGACTGTGGCACAGGAGCTGTTTTCACCCTTCACAAACTGAAAAAACAGAAGCGTACGCCAGTCTATCTACTTTTCTTATACAATAAAGCTTCTTTCTTTCACCATGTAAATACTGGACATCTAAAGTGGCAAGGAGAAAAGAGAAATTACTCCAGTTACAGCTTACAAATTATTTCTGTGATAACCTGACTTGTTGCTGTTTGGTTTTGTTACATAATTTCCAGGTACTGGTATTTTTTACCTGGACCAAAACAGTCTAGTCAACTAATTAAGTAGTTCATGACGCGCAAAGTAGTTCTCAAACTGCAGAGCATGGTGCATTTAGCCTTGTAAGCAGACAACTTTGAAATACTGCAGTGGTTTCAAACCAATTTGAGTAGGAGTAGCCCTGAATTATTTTCCTCATCCTGTAAAGGAACAGACTATTCTTCATTGTTTAGAGTATTGTCCTTTTCATGTATTTTTAATTTATTTTTAAAGCAGCATTTTTTTTCTTACAGAGATGACATAACATTGAGATCTGAGAGCATTTTTAACTGAATGTGCCATTGTGGCTCATTTACAAAGTTTCTTGAGATGTATTGAGGAAATTGTTTAATTGTGCCTTTTTTGCAGTAAATTAGTGGCTGTTATAAATTAGCGGTCTGCTATAAGATCTTTTCTCCTTAAAGCCGTCCTCCTGTGTGGTATAACAGAAGTTCAGAAAAATAATCCCTTCCCCTAAACAGAATAAGAACGTGATGAGCCATTAAGTCAGGGCTATTAAAAAGAAATATGGCCAACTTAAAAGCCACTAAAATGGGCAAAAATAGAATGTGGTGCACTGATAATAAATGCTGTATTTCTGTCATGTAGAAAATATTTATACTGCCTCCATTAGCAAAAGTCCTTGGGCGTGTTATTGTGACACCAATTCAATTTCCAGTTCATAATTCCATCATGCAGTTCCTGGTGGAAATTATTATATGTTGAATGAGGATTTTCTTTATCGGGTCTCTTGGTTTCTTAGCATTGCTCATTTACTTTTAAAGGTGAGAAATCCCTCCGCAAGTTGACAGGTCAATAGACGTCACCACTCTCTTATTCCCAGTGTTTAGTTGGATTGGTTGTTTTCAGTATAAACTTCTGATGGGTCTTCACATGTTCAAATATTTAAGACTGTTGGATCTTCCTTCATAGCTTGTGGAACCCTTGACTCCAAGTGGCACAGCACCCAACCAAGCACAGCTTCGTATCCTGAAGGAAACTGAGTTGAAACGAGTCAAGGTTCTTGGCTCTGGAGCCTTTGGAACTGTATACAAGGTAAGAGTCTTCAATACACAGCAGTGAGTTCCCTCATTTAACTTTTGAACAGTTGAGTTCTGCATTGCAGCAAAGCATCCTGTTCTGTGGACGGGTTCTTGAGCCCAATATCCCGAGGAAACTCAGGATAGTGTAATTGTGTGGGAGGAGCACATCTTCAGGCTCAAATGTTAACTTCAGTTTTAATCAGACATGCAGATAGTATTTCTTGGTGAGAAAAGAAGTGTCTGCCACAGTCATCCTTGCATGCAAGAGGACTACACATGCTGGGCTGTATTGATATTTACATGCAGTAGCGAAGTTTGTTGTTCTGTTCTTACATAATGGCTTTACAGTATGCTTTTTCTGAAAGCTAGATAAACGTTGTCTCTCATTTTGCAAGTGTCACATGGGTATTGTAATAGTAATCATACCTTGTAAAACAATATTATCATTACAGCCGTAATACTTTTTGTTTCTTCCATTTAAATAGAAAAGATGAGGTCATGTCAATGCACCCTTTAACAACCAGGATGTAAGCGCAGAACCCACAAGGCAAAAAACCACTTCAGTTCAAGATTTTGGTTTTTAAGATCTATTGGTTGTGTCCAAATCTCAAAGGCATGAAGTAAGGCTTGATGAGCAAGTCAAACCAATCACCCAACCCTTTGGGAGCAACTCAAAGTTACCAAATCGAGGTGGTAGGTCAGAGCACTGAAGGAGGACAGATACTGCATCTGTCTTCAAACTGGGGAGGAAATGGAGGAAGTACAGACCAGGTCACTACAGCTACAAGAAAGGTCATGGGAATACATTTTTGAATAATCAGTTTGAATAATAAAGTAATAGAGATGGGTACCATGAGGTTACCAAGAACACAGCAGTAGTCAAGAAGGATGGAAAAGTAGCCAAAGAGAGACAGAGTTTGTGAATTTTAATTTTAAAGTTTACTTTTTAGCCATCTAAGCTTTTAATTTTCAGATATCAATTAATTAAGAGAAATAGGCCCTAAATGTTTCACTCTAAATACATTGTTCTCAGGATGTCCTGTCCCTGCATGATAGTATGACCTGGTGATAATCAGTTTCGAGTTTTCTGATAGCTTTGGTGAGTTTAGCATCAGAATCAAGAATAGAAAATCCAGAGTTTTGTTCAATTTTATCAGGATCAATAGTCAGTGGAAAAAGAATGTGCATCACTGACATGCTGATATTACTCTCTAGAAACCCGGTTATTGGCAGGAAGATCAAGGGGGCCTAATGAGAACGTTCACTGATGTAAAATCTTTCACTTTACGTAAGGATTTACTTTTGGTGTAAGAAGTAGTTTTGTGGGATTTTTATTATTTTATTGCTTTGTGTGTTCTCAGTTCTGAGGTTCATAATTGATCTGCATAATGTGACAGAATGCATCAAAAAGAACTGTAACTCTGAATGAAGTTTTTATTATTGTCTTCTGTCACTTTTTCTTCTCTTTCTAGGGTATTTGGGTGCCCGAGGGAGAAACCGTAAAGATTCCTGTGGCCATTAAGATCCTTAATGAGACCACTGGTCCAAAAGCCAATGTGGAGTTCATGGATGTAAGTAAGAGATGATCAGTGTCTTTGAAGGTTTGGGGGTTTTTTGGGCAGGGGTGGGTGCATCTTTCTGTGTTCCACAGAGGGATTTCTGCCAGTTTTCTGTCTTTAAATAGTAGGGAGAGGCTTGTACTCAGAACCAATACTGTGCTGATGTTCAGCAAGTGCTACGATATCATGTCTCTAGAAAAACTCACCTGCTGAGATTTTGTGTGTAGGCCATTTCCCTCCTTCCCTCAGTCTTTGACAAGCTGTCTCAGTGCTAATGCATACCTGTAGCATTGGTATTCCAGCAATGTTCAAACAAACAAACAAAACCAACCAACCAAGGTTACACGTCAGCTGCGGGTAGGTCAGTGCTGCTTCTCTGAAGCTGTAGAGCTAGGCAGATCTGTATGAGACAATGCTCTGCCCTGTTTAGTTTATTGCATGTAGATCATTCCATTCCAGAACCTTAAGTACCTGGGCTACCAGGTAATGCCAGACGCATGGTAATGAAGGGCTGGGTTTTTCCACTGTGCAGATGTCATGGACCCTAAGATGCTTAGACTTTTCTTCTAAATGGCCTTTCCGTGAGTGGAAAGCTGAAACTCCTGTATCTCATGGCAGAGAAGCTAGAGAGAGGAGGAGTTGCAGGGGAGCATCTAACCATGTATGTGAGTCTCTACTGGAGCAGAACTCACAGGAACAAAAATTTAGCCTCAGCTCTCTTCTGCTTCAGTGTTCCTGAGAACTAAGCACTGAGAGTCTGGGAGCTGTCAGCAGCAGCAAAGCATAACGGGGATGGGGAATGAAAATATGCTGGATTTTAAAAGCCCTTTTGCTTTACTGATCTGAAATACTGTTAATAAGAGGTCGAGATCATAATTTTCATGAATGTTCTATGTTCACAGAGACTATGCACTCAGTTTTTAGCTCCGTGTCAAGATCAAGGCTCATTGACACTGTGAATGTGTATGTCCTATTTAGTGACAATTTTTTTAACAAATGATAGAAATTTGCACTTTTTTGTAAATCCCTCTTGTGAACTTGAAAATTACATAGGACTTTTAGGTCTGTTCAGTGTATAGACTTAATTTGGTTAGCATTAATGATACTGTTAAACCACAAGGAGAGTATACTCCCATTATATAGTCTATTCTTCCATCTAGAAATTAATAGAAATATACAGTTATGGATTTAGCTATTTCAGACAAATTATCACATGTAAGTTCCTAGGCAATTGAATGAAAGCTGTATAGATGAAGGCATTTGCTGTGCTTTTTACAATGCATTGCACATTTATGTTGCTGACATTCAATAATCATTGTGAAGAATTTTTTTTTCTTTTTTTCAAAAAAAAAACCATTTTGGCTCTGTGCAGAAGAAATGAATTACACTAAAGGAGTAAAGAGGATTAGATGTTTGCTTAATGAACAAAATAATGGTCAATGGTAGAGGTCCAGAAAGAGGAGAGCTGCTATTCAGCACCCTTTTGAAGTGAGCGTGGAGGGAGTGCAAAGCCACAGAACACAACCTGTGCTCCATATCTGATGTCGGTGGTCGGTGATATGGATTCCAGCCTCACGACGAAGGAATTCTTATCACTGTGTGAAAGTCAGTGGAACTGAGCAACTTGCACCAGCTGAGGCTCTGACCCCAGATCTGATAGAAAAATAATAATAATATCTCCTTCTCTGATATTGATTAACTTTGAAGCGCTTTACAAAGAAAACATAAGGTCCTTGTTAAAAGACAAAGTTAATTGTCAGAGGTTTCATAGCTCAGCTTGATCAGCTGGCTTAATTCATTGGACCACATTTCCCTCCGGTGTACACATCACAACACCTGATAAATGACTCAGAAGTTATGAAGATTCTTTGGAAACTCTAGAGATTTTAACTACGTAAGGTACAGCCACATTAGGAGAAGTTTCTCTTTAAATTCACAGTTTCTCATGAATCTCTGACCCAGTGCTAACAAGGTGAGAGAAAAGTTATTTTTAGTCCTAGAGGTTAATAACAACACAGAGGTTATTTTTAATCATAATAAAAAAGAACTGGACTTTATCATTAGTTGATATAAGTGACAATAAGGAGAAATAAGATGTTTTGTATCAGTGCTGCGTTTGATATATGTACAGTGGTCTGTAACATCCTTTGCTGTACTGCATTAATGAAGAAGATGATTTAATTTCATTCATTTGAAATAATTGCTAGTGCAATCGTACAGACGTTCCTGCCATCCCCTGTGTTTATTTCCTGAAACAAGCCACATTTTAAAAGAGAACGACCTAGGCATTGTTTATGGTTTTAATGTGACCGTTCCTCTCTGTCCCAGAAAGGCCATAGTTTTAAACTTTTTAAAATTTTAAGCTGTTATGAGGAGGTAACGTAAATGTCTTCCACTGAAGAGTAAATTATAGTAGAAAAATGTGGTTTACTCATTCTCACTCTTAAGGCTTTGGTCAGTATAACTATCCTGATAAAACTTGATACTGTTTACTGGTGTTATTTTGTGAGGAAAATTTAAGTGTACATGTGAAAGCAAAATGCATCAGTTGTGATTTCAGTAGAGTATTATGAATAGTCGTTTGCTAAAAGCAATTGTTTCAGATTTTTTTAAGGTATACAGGTGGCTAAGTGTCATTATGAACATAGGGGAGTTAACTCTAAAAGAAGTGTCTGACGTATTGGTTATGAATGGGAAGAGATCAGCGGGAAGGAGATGTCATTATGAGAGTCACACCCTTGGCTTTTTTTTTTTGTACTTGGCAAGTATAGGTGGGCTTTTGTCAGCAGTTACTTCTTACTCGATTGTGTATGTCCTTGTACTTGCAAGTAAAACTTACCATTCCTTTTAGAGAGACTCTGGAAAATGTAAAGCCTCCTGTAAACAGTGGTTTGTGTAGAGAGAGAGTACTTGGGAGATTTCAGTGTCTACAGAAATAGCTGGTATAGATGTTAGTGGCATTGTCCATGGGCTCTGGTTAAAACTTCTAATGTTGGCAGAATGTAAGTCTAAAAGTGCTCTGTGAGCTCCTGAAATTCTGCTAAATGTTATGCTAAAAGAGTAAAGAACAACAATTTGGCTACTGGGCTGTCATTTCAGCACCTTGAACACCCACTAATGGATCTGTAATGACTATAATGGTATAATGCATGATGTTAGCACCTGCTATGGCCAAACACCTCCCACCCTCCTCCCATCAGGGGATGATGAATTGGCCATCATCAAAAAGTACATCCCCTATTTGGAATTCTTCTTCAGGGAGTTGCAGCAGAATCTATTTTCTGGGCTTTCTCTGCACATTCCCAGATAGCTTTTTCTTTTACTCTGCTCCTTGCTTTCTTACATGGTTTTTATCACTGCAGTAGTCCGTGTCTGTTACATTGCAAGCTGAAGTCTACTAAGTAACCCATACCATCTTCTGCAGGGCAAAACCTGAATGTACATGTGGACTTCTATGGATTTGTTTTCACTGTGCAGAAGTTGTTGCTGCTGTTTTGTAAAATGTAGGTTTACCTTTTTTCCACGTATTTCTGAATACGTATTATCTCTGGAATAATTTCACAGTCTAAAGAATGTTCTCTCAGGTGCTGAAATGGTTAGGTGCTTAAGTTGTGGGGCATATTCCTCCTCCTTGCTTGGCTGGTCACATGTCACCATCCCCAGAAGGTGCCAGAATTTGAATTCAGAGTGCAGGCGTTCTTGCTGGCAAGTGTGTCTGAGAGGGAAGTCACCAGCAGACACCGAGGGTATCAGGAGGGAAAGATATCCTGCTCTGCACCCTGCGGCTGGTAACAGAATATACAAGGGCCTTGGGTTTTAGGGAGGGAAGAGCAGCTTGCTGTGAGGAAAAACGGCAAATATGCAGCCAAGAGGCTACTTGATAGTAGAACAGGGACTTACAATTTCACTCGTGAAAACAATTTCCCCTCCTCAGCCTCAAATTATTTGACTGTTATGATTGTCTAATAAGTCAAGTAGCCATTGGCCTGATGAGATGGTTCAACGTCAAACCAGATGCTCGACTGATAATGTAATACATTCCAAAGTCCTGCTGCATTTGGAAAGCATAGCAAACCATCTTTGAGGCAAAAAAAACCCCAACAAAACAAACAAACAAAAAACCCCACAAACAAAACCCAACCTCTTTAAACTAACTTGTCATGAGGAAATGGACAATTGATGAGGGTCTTTCCTCTCTAGTCTTCTAAGCTTGGTGTTTCCAGGAAGTAATCCTGTGAGCTGTGATTCTGTCCAGGGTTTTGATCCACTTACAAGTTTAATCTATCCTCTCTGAACTTAAGTGCTCCATTATCTGTTAGAAAATAATTAGAGGCTGCAAGCACAAGTCTGCATACACAGAGTTCCTTGGGAGTCCCTGAGCTCATTGAGATGAAGACAGTTTGACTGATGGTGGTCAGCTGATATTGGGCCAGAAGCTAATAATAGAAGGCAGTGCTGCTTAGCCAGGTGAGAAAGTTAACTTGGGAAAAATTAAACTGAAGGGTTTGGGATTTATGGTTGGAAATAAATTTCACATTCTCATTTGTTTCCTGGTAAGAGAGCTTCAGAGGCAGTTGGTTTCTTTTATGGCTTTATAATTAAGATCTAGGGGGCTTCTTGACTTCGCCTGGACTTACTGTAGTTCCCTGCTGTCTCTAAGAGCAGCATTCAGTGTGCAGGAGAGCATTTGTCAAGTGAAGTGTAAAGGTAATAAGTGACAATGACCGCCACCAGGCATGCAGCAAACAAATTAAAGCTGCGTATAGGGGGCTGATACCCACATCTTTTATTTATGTCTGGCCTAATTAACTAAATTAATAAAGCAGTCAGATGTCTTGTACTGCAAAAAGAAAGAGAAACAGTTTTTCCTAAATTGTAAGCCTGTCTTATAATAAAGACAAGTCCTCAAGACGTATTGAACTTACCTTTGGTTCAGATGTTTCAAGAGGGGAAAAAAAATCATGTAGCTGACTAGCAAAAGAGAATTTCATCTCCTGTTCAGGTGAAAACTC